GGCCAAGATGAGGAGATACTGTGACTGAACGGAGGGTATAATTCCAAGGACAGAAAAGCGTTAGCGGCACGGACGATTGGAAGCTGAGGAGGAATTTGCGCTCAGGCGTGTTAAAATGAAGTTCCAGGACATTGGACTTGTCACAATTCTTGTGTGAGTGAAATTTGGAGTGGTCCGTTCATTGAGATGGGACGAGGTTCATGAACTTAAGGCTAGTGATCCTGATCGGGGCCCACTCGTGCTCAAGCTCCCACAAGAGGCCGAATAGTGCGAATTTCCTAGCACATAAATTTTAAGCCAACAAGGCCAAGAATAGCACGATCTCTTGGATGTAAGATTCGGGCTAACTTACATCTAACCCACGTATTCAACTTTTCTGGATAGGCCATGTCTTCTATGCTATCTTCGATTCCTAACGTGGAAAGCTTAAGATTCATGACTCAGCTCGATGTGGACAACGGCGTTACAACCTCTTCTCAATAGTGTCATAGCTAGTTAGGCTGCATACACTCAATGATTTAAAAAAAAACCTCTTCTCAAAGTCCGTCACATATTTTTCCCCCCTTTCTTGAGGATTTCCAAACAAATTTCTCGCAATGAAATATTGCGTGATCGAATGGAAGTTACTAAATCTTGTAGCAAGTTCGGGCTATTGGTGCATTAATAATGTATGCTTTCAGTAGAAATTTCAGCTGAATAATGCAGGCCTTTGATCCCGTTGGGGTTGTGACGAAGGGATAGAGCCTAACTGTATATAGGCAAAAACCTTGGAACTTCGAATACACCCTTTTTAGGGGGGGGGGGGTATTTTTTAAAATCATTTAATGTGTATGCAGCTACGTAGCTATGACGCATAATCGGTGCTATGTGTACAAGTTGGGTGACTCTTTCGATATTTGAGAAACTCATTGACTGTATTTCATTTGCAAATAACACTTTGAGGTATTTTGCTCAAACAAAGAGTCGACCCTCCTCTGTAATTGCCGACCAAAGGGAAATTTGGAGCCTTTGATTATCCAAACATGCCTTGGCCATGCATGCCTACTAGCGCCGCGAGAAATGTAGTTTGCATTGAAGGAAGATATTGTTAGAAAACTGTACTGCTGGTCAATGCCTAAAGCTTATTTCGTATATAATTATTGTACCAAGTACTAAGTTCTACAGATTATCATAGCTAAATAGCTGCATACACATTAAATGAATTTTTTTTTAAAAAAAAGATACATTCTATAGACCCTAGCTTAGCCCAACTTATAAATCAAGTCACATGTCATCTGAGGCTCAGTGATTGATACTTCAGCAGTTTGGTTTTGCTGGATTCGAATCATCGGTATTCCGTCTCGACCCTTTTCAGAATGTTCTAGCGTAGAAGTCGGGCTTTTTCTAGGCGAGTCATCACCAAATTGACAGCAGCAGGTCTCAGTGAGAATTTGAAGGTATCACGCTACGAGGACAAGGCAAAGCGTCGGACAGGATGCAGGACTCACTATTACAGGCACATAGAAGGGTCCACAAGAACAATTGTATCGGCCACCCGATTTTATGCTCCGCCGGAAAAGCTATCAATGTGTTATGTATCGCAGTTAAGGAAATAACATGACTACACTACAGAAAACTGTTCACGCTAAAATAATGTGCACACGCGCCACGGGATATGATTGACCTAGATAATCACGCATTGGTATGACCTATTATTTCCCAATAGTTTCCGATAGGCATCTATTGGCGCTGGGATTTCTTGTATTTTTCCCATCTCGATTAGACTAGGGAAATGTGTTGGAGCACCGACTAGTGTGCATAAACTCCTTGCCTATGTCTGCACAGAAACTACGCACCACTTAGATGATCAATCACACCAAATACTTGGACATGCAAACAATATGCACGTTTTTCATAGACTTGAGAATGATCGGGGATAAGCCCGAGTTCGTTCATCGACCAAAGTCCTAAGAGTAGATTTCACGAACTAAACTTCGCTGAAAGCCATAGCTACCTCATTCCATACTGACATTATGACTAAATCCGAAGACATTGTGACCCTTCTGAAGTTCTCGGAGAGGCTGGCCACTGCTAACTTGAGTGTACCTCGGAGAATTCACACTCTACCTTTCTAGCCTCCTTCCAACTCCTTCCTGAAGGTCGTGCTGAAATGTCAGAAAAGTCTTGACAGAGCGTGATTGCTGTATGGCAGCTTATCCCAACTTCTTTTGTGCCGTCCAGGGCGCTGGGGAGTGTCGTTGACTCATCGACAAAAGAAGTCGTCCTAGCCAATTAGCCAAAAGCGTAGTATTGACGCCCACAAACATTCCAAGGCGGTGCGGGCGACACTAAAAACACTGCTACGGTTAGATGGCGTAGTGGTACATGGTCTTAGCCGTTCTCCCAAGAAGAGTCTGGATAGCTTGGACACATGTCCCACTTGAGACAGGAGATCTTTTTTTTTTGCATCAGATTTTAATTGCGTATGCAGCTATCTAGCTATGACACAATATCAAAGAAAAGTATAGAATAGATGATTCAACGTAAAGGAAGAGCACTCATGCCTCAGATTTTATTTGCAAATACCACTCCGAAGTTATGGTGGCTTTTTCTTCACCCCAAGTCAACCCTCATCCGTGAATACCCACCCAGGGGGACGTCTCAAAAACCCTGAGTTATCCAGACATGCCTCCATCATCTTTCAACTTTTCTCCGCGCGAAATATGGTCTTAGGCGTCTCCTTCCCAAGTGGAGTAGGTGCCCAGGCCACTCAAACTATACCGGAGAACACCACCAGGAGGCGGACCGCAACACCTTCCATCGTTTGCTTTTTTTTATAGTATCAACTGCACTCTTAGAGACAGGAGATCGCTGCTTAGAATCCGGTAAAATGCAACCAGTTTTCTCGCGGCGCCGGTATGCATGGATGACCAAGGCATGCTTAGATAATCAGAGGTTTGAAATAGCCTTTTTTTTATTTTTTATTGTACTACTTGAGTCCATGACTATCTAGCACATTGGGCTCCTCTCTGACCTAGGCCACATCTTGTACAGTGCTCTTTGCCTCTCTTGTTTCTTGAAAGATCATTGATATATTCCCCTTGATGAATAGCCGTTCAGCTCAGTGTGTCCCCGTGGAAATCGGCCACCTTTTCCACGGAACCTTCTACCCGAGAAAAGTAAAGATGGTAGCAATGGAAACTGCGTGCGCGGTAAAAAGTCTCAAAAAACCTGCAGCCCCAGCCAGGCTAGGCCTAGACACCGGGACCACATGAGGTGCGCACATTCATCTATATTTCCTATCTTTGTAACAGTCGAGGTCGACTTGATCCAATCCGCCATCTCCGTATCGGGTGCTAGGTGCGCTCCGGAAACTCATCGGATGGCTTTTCCTTCATGATCAAGGGTTGGTGGTGAGTAGGGCTCCGACCCTACTATCTGATCTGATCGTGGTTAGCTTCATGATAATGGTGATGGGGGAATGTGTTGAGAGATGAAGACGATACAGACCGCGAAAGCGATTGGGAATCCTCGTCGAAGTGAGGACTTTGTTACTCAATCTCGGCTCTGCAGACTCTACAGTGAGAGCTGGAGGTTCGTAGGGTACACCACTCACAGGTGTTGAGAATAGTCCCCCTTGAAATAGCCTTTGGCGGGTAGCAACGGAGGAGGTTAACTAATTGTTTGAGCAAAACACCTCATAGTGGTATTTGAAAATGAGATCCAGAGTATGAGTGTCTCTAACGTCAAGAGTCATCCAATATGTGTACACAGCTCTGATTATACGTCATAGTTAGATAGCTGCATACACATTAAATGATTTGAAAAAAAAAACATTCCAGAGTTGAAATCACATTGGGAATATCAGTCCCGGCATGGTCTTCAGAGACCTCATCTCCCTCTCGCTCCACATTTCAGCCGCATGTCCTCCATCAATTTGTTTGTCCCCTAGGAGCAACAATCCCTCATGAACCAAGACCTAAACTTTGTAAGCTATGACCTGGTTTCCTCCCTGCGTGTTCACGTAGTATCGTGAATTTGGTAGTAGGTGATGGCCGGCTATTCCTGTGGCAAGCTTCTCTCTGCAATTCAAGTAATGACTTTAGCGGCTATCGTGGAAAGGTGGTGTAGCAGGATCGGGGTAGAGGTTTCGCGTGAGAATGATAGGACGGATATTGACGAGAAGCCGTCGATAGTAGACATGCTTGTGTTTGCTTCCGACATCGATTGAGATGCGGCTCTTGATGGCTATGGCAGATATACAGAGCGATTATCCCGATACAACTGAAATGCAAATTATTTGTCTTTGCAGGCTCATAGTGCGTGTAGCACACTACGTCAAATGGTTGAGCCTCCATCTCACTCGCTCGCAATGTCGCAAAGGCTGAGTTAGAGCCTGCACATCGACACGTTGAGATGGATTTCCCTGTACGGTCGGAGTTGGCATGATTCAACCTTGGGGTGAAATCTAAGGTGGGCTTTTGCTGCAGAACGGACGATGCTCACATACGGAATGAACGGTCGACTAATTTGGCTCGTCTCTACTCGTGATCAATATCCTTGTGTGCGAATTCTGTACTTTGATCAATACCTTCTATGCAAGTGACAGTGAAGAGTAGATCTAATGACTCTGCTATAATTGGCTGATCTCCGCATCACTAGACCGGGAGAAGTAAACTCAAATAAGTTGGGAATCCGTAAGACCGCACGGTTCGGTGCCGTTCTACACATTACAAATTAATCTTTATTTCCAACATGTCTACAACGAAGACCTTTAGGTCTGGGTATTAAGTATCTGCCGGTGAGCACTGTCTAGTCTGGGATGTATTACTATGAGGTGGTAAATGACCTTCATCTTGGATTTATTTTTCATGTTTATCGTAATACATCTAAACTGTGTTTACTAACTATACCATCAGGTGACTTTCGCCACGCTTATGGTACATGAACATAAAATTAGAGGGCGGCTATAGGTTTTCCAAAAATCGACGCTCAGCTTGCTGGATATGTGAATTTTTATTCTAACTGGCCTGCACTGGACTCTTCACACAGAAAAACTCTCTTTCGTTTCTATCGTATAGCTGCAAGGTAATCTTCTTTGTCTAGTATCCTGTCAACCATACTCTTCATGAAAACAGTCACGGGTGTCACGACTCACTGCCAAATAATGGGTTTCGGGTAACAAGTAAAATTTCATATGAAATACTCCAGTGTCTCGTGGTGGTTCGATGCCAAGGGTTTCCATGTACTCGAAAATTTCAATCGGCCTCACAAGTACTCTACCTGACATCGAATCCGTTATTCTGAGGTAGGTGCCGGGCGTCAGTGGCTCGTACAAAAATCCGAATATCTCAACTTGGTTCCATTCATTCCTAATTGGTAGTTAGCTAAAGCACAACATTGATCTATTTCGTCTTGTCGTACAGGTCTGGGTCAATGGGATCAATGTTGATTTCAAGAAGATCTAAGGGTTCGTCCCCTTTTTGTTTTGAGCAATATTCTAGGTGGTTTTTGCCAGGGATGTATTCTTCGCTCAGGATAGCTTCCTGGCTCTCCACGAACGTTGGTTTCAGGGTGGGTTGCAATGTAGGTTGCAATATTGATTTCATACAATAAGCTGACACTAAGGAGCTTATAGCAAGAGTGGTAAGACCGATATTGAGCTTCATTGTTGATATGTGGTGTACAAATAAGTTGCATTCACATCACTGTGGGCATAGCTGGCCTTTATTGAAGGCGGCAATATATTTTTCCAAGTGCTTATTTACCACCAAAACCAAGTCTGCTGAGCATGGATCAACCAGTCTTGATCAATTGTGGTATTCAGTGGGTCCTGATGACGATATATCGGGTTCACTTCCCTGCTGTCTTGAGATTCTAACTGGCAGATTAACATTCTATCTTTCACTCGTTTATCCTACTAGCATCATCTCATTGTAGTTCAAGGCATCCTGAGCAAGACCGACTGATCCTCGGGAGCTGAGCTTTTAGAATTATCATAAATTTAGTGGCGTCTTCAGTGGGGCGGAAATGTCTATTTCACGTAAAGATGCAGCTAGACATTGGAAAAAGTCGGAATGTGGATTTGATCTGCATAAATGTACCAGCTGAAGAGTTCATTTGCACTATTTAGGCTGAAAAAGCATTTTGACTCTTCGAGGCTAGCTATGATCTTGTCGAACAATATCGCGTGGCTTGCGCTGAAGCATGACTGGTCTATGCTTGAGCGCTGCGAGCATCTGTCTATTCCTCTAATGCCTAAAAGCGCGTGCAAATGGAGTAATTGATTAAAGTGGTTGAGGCTATGCCCTTACGACATCTATGAATGGAGATCGGGCGGGACCTTGCCGCATTCTACCCGTAGCTGGACTCTTGTAAGAAGTGATCGATGATTCTCCAAATGTGGTTCCGTTCTACCCTGGTTCTATCGACATGCTTGACATACAAGGTATTTGTGGTAGACGCAAGGTTCATAGACTTGATGCTAGACAGCTCAAACTGGGCTATCCCAGCATGCAGATGATCGACAACCAGCTCTTAGGCAAGCCCTGGACTTCATAAAGTTTTTAACCGGGGGTTACTCATATCCAATGAATGCTATTTCTGGATAGCTGTACATTCTAGATGAACCGACAAAGATATCTTGACTCACCGTCCTCGCTCGCCATCACTGTGACCTAAGAAGAAGAACCCGATTTTGCATCCAACGCACACACTCATGTTCATTTGAGCGGCTTTTTGACGAGCAGATACAATTAAGAGCAGGGTATCCCCTGCAAGTTCGGCTCTGCCGTTGCCAAGATTAGCGGTCCTGTCCGGTACTGGTTTGGCTAGCGCGGCCCACTTTGCCAAATATGGAGATGAGTGAGTGATGTGATGTTTTAATTGTGCTTCTTGAGTCATAGACTATCTAGCTTATTGAGCTCCTCCCTAGCTCAGGCCACACCTTGTACAGTAGTCCCATACCCTTCTCTTACTTGGAAGATCATTGACATATTGCCCTTGATGAATAGCCGTTCAGCTCAGTGTGTCCCCGTGGAAATCGGCCACCTTTTCCACGGAACCTTCTACCCGAGAAAAGTAAAAATGGTAGCAATGGAAACTGCGTGCGCGGGTAAAAGTCTTAAAAAACCTGCAGCCCCAGCCAGGCTTGGCCTAGACACCGGGTCCACATGAGGTGCGCACATTCATCTATATTTCCTATCTTTGTAACAGTCGAGGTCTACTTGATCCAATCCGCCATCTCCGTATCGGGTGCTGGGTACGCTCTGGAAACTCATCGGATGGCTTTTCCTTCATGATCAAGGGTTGGTGGTGAGTAGGGCTCCGACCCTACCATCTGATCTGATCGTGGTTAGCTTCATGATAATGGTGATGGGGGAATGTGTTGAGAGATGAAGACGATACAGACCGCGAAAGCGATTGGGAATCCTCGTCGAAGTGAGGACTTTGTTACTCAATTTCGGCTCTGCAGACTCTACAGTGAGAGTAAGAGGCTCCTAGGGGACACGACTGACAGGTGTGCAGAATAGTTCCCCAGCTTGGAGATCAAATCATGCACGTTAGATAGAAACCATTTAATTTTAATAAATGCAGCCGAAAATCACAGTCAGCTTATTTTCAAGCTAGAACTGGAATAGGCAACACACTTGCTTTTATGAAGAAGATTGGAAAATCAGACACAATTATATGCAACTACTGTGACAAGGCTATCCAAACTACTCAGCATCTAATACTCCACTGCTCATACTTCAAGAGAAGCAGAAACAAAGAGTTTAAGGGTATAATTCCATTAACGCTTCAAGTATTATTCAAAACCACAGTTAGTAAGAATGCACTAATTAGATATCTCTCATCATCCAACTGCCTTTCAGGGGGAAAGGAGAAAAAGGGATAGAAAATATAACACTACACTTTTTCGGAAGAAACTATTAACAGATACCATTAATTAACCTTATTGAATGATGTAAATTTGAGAAGGGTTGATTAGGGTTAAAATTAACAAAAATACTGGAATATAAATGTTTCAATTAAAGTATATAGTATCATAGCTAGATAGGCTGAATACACTTAATGATTTAAAAAAAAAAAAAAATAATGCACGCTAGAAAGATGTTAATCTTAACGCATTTCTTTTTCCTATTTATCGCGTCTGACTTAAGCGTAAATAGTCAAATGCAGAATGTCGATCGTGTAAGTAAGCGAAGAGAAATTTCAGCTTGCTTAGTCAACTCATCAGCCAAACATGTCATGGTCCATACGCTAGACTGAAGTTCAATTGGGGGTTTTCGCATAGAAAGATTGGTTCTTTTATTTTGTGTTGAAGATGTTACTCGCTAAATCTGAGATTGTAACTAAATCACCAAGGAACTCTACTTAAGTTCATCCAGAAAGACTGCCCTTCCTATGAATATGTAGCCGGCAATGACGAATTCTTCACCTTCCGGTGGTGCCGGTGTAATCGCTCATTATGCTCTGCATATCTAGGATAGCCAAGAAGAATCGCATCCGAATCGAAGTCGAAAGCAACCTCAAACACATCTCCGTTTGTCGACTTCTCGACAATGCCTCTCTCATCATTATCATCTGAGTCCTCAACCCATCTCTAACCATGCATCATCTCGCCTCAGCGACCAATAAAGAAGTTGCTCCAATTGCATACAGGAGCTTGCCTCATTAATCTCCAGCCATCTCTCACTATAAAATTACGACGCTACGTATACCCGCAAGGAGGATACCAAGTCGAAAAATACAAAGCCTGGGTCTTGGCTCATGAAGGACTGTTGCTCTAATGGGACAAACAACTTGATGGAAGATAGGCGCCTGAGATGTGAAGTGAGAGGGGGAACAAGACTGAAGACCATGCTGGGACTGATATTTTCGAGGAGTTTTCAACTTTGAAATTTTTGTGGGCGCCAAGACTAAGATTTCGGCTAATTAGCCAGGAGGGCTTCTTTTGTCGATGAGTGAACGGCACTCCCCAGCGCCCTGGACGGCACAAAAGAAGTCGGGCTAAGCTACCAAACATCAATCACGCTCTGTCAAGACTTTTCTGACATTTCAGCACAACCTTCAGGAAGGAGTTGGAAGGAGGCTAGAAAGGTAGAGTGTGAATTCTCCGAGGTATCCACAAGTCTGCAGCGCCCAGCTGGCCGGCCTCTTCGAACGCTTCAGAAGGGGCAATATGTCTTCGGATGTAGTTCTAATGTCGGTATTAGGAGAGCTCCGCACCCAGTGGTTTTTGTGATTTTTCCCGGCTGTCATACACCCGCAAATAGCCATCGTTTCGTTGACTGGAGAGGGGAGATAATGAAGTGCAAGGGCTCCTTTAAGTATATGGTCGAATGAGGACTTGTGAGGGGTGTTACTGTTTGAGGGGAGCTGTATGAGAGGCATAGAAGGGGATATACTACTGGTATAGGTATCCTTGGCCTGTAGGCAGAGAGGACCTGCATGTCCTACATAGTCATAGACTCAGACAGGACAATAAAATGAATTAAAATGAATATGTACGCACAGACCATTCACGATACCTGAATAGTTCCCAATCCTCGTATATTACATGACCGCATAACTGGAGCTGATTACACTTTAAAGTAAATCCGCTCACATTTATCATTAAACAAGCATGCTATCAAAGCTAGAAATTGAAGAATGGACCAAAATCTTTGTCATGGAGAATGCGGTAGAGAGACAAGAAGATACCTGTAAGGTGGCCGCGTTCCATGAGTGGAAAAAACTCATGGACATGTCGAGGGAACGAGAAACTATCTAGCCGTCGAGCTTCGGTAGACCCTGAACATTGGAAAGCCGCAAATATTGTTACAAATAAGACAACAGGCAGAAAAAGGATTAACTAAAGAAACACACCCTCAAATATCCTCCGGAACCTTAGCAGGGCCCAAAGCAGTATTGCAATTCAGATAAGAAGTGAGCACATTGGTCTCAATTCTTATCGGAATCGAAGGAAAGTCCCCGGTGTGATTGATCCAAAATACCAGAGTGGATGTGCGTCTCAACCTGCCAAACATACGGCCTTGGCGTGTCCTCGGTGGGCAATGGGAAGAGCAGAGGTGTTTCCAAAGGTAAAAGACATGTCCTTTGTGGGAATGATGGACAGCCCAGATGATATGGAAAGAATTATAAAAGTGATCCTGGCAAAAGCCTGGTCTGAACAGTTCCGGCTCGCGGGAGAAGTAGAAATAGCATTGGACGAAAAGATGAGACAATGTGGACAGGGATAGGACGGCATTCACACTGTATGAACAGTGTAAACACACTTCCCATAGGAAACCTCATAAAACCAATGGACACGAGTCAGACAGCGGAGGGCAAAACTAAACACCTGTACGCGGTGCCTTCTACGAACATAGGAGTTAAATATTCTCCCAGAGTGTAATGGCTGTTAAGCCTAGGGATTCCTGTAGCCTGCGCTGGCAAGCGCAGGCAATGAATGCAAGGGAATCTTCGGGAAGGATTTCGGAATACAAGGAGCTTAGAAGATTCTCAATGAACCTTCTGAAAGCACACTAAAGGTTCATGAGGACAACAGGTATATCAAGAATCTTCTAGGGTATTGTCGAGGAGTCCATGTTATTCTAGACAGAGGGAGAACCTTACAGAAGAGGAGTATCTCAGATTATATGTATTTGTATTCTAGCTAAAGGGA